AACCCTACTGGCCTATTTGAAGTTTTAGGTAGAGCAAATCTTGGGTTCGGAGCCGATCCTCCTAGTCTGAAATCTTTCGGTCTCTTGATTCATCCATTATTTGTGGTCAGACCAATATTTGCATAATAAAGGCTTTTCCCCTCTACTCGAACTAATCTATACGTTCTTTGGACAAGCTGCGCCAAATCCTCTATTCACTTTAGGATTGAGATTGCGATCTCCGACGGAACTACTCCTGAGTTGGTTGCCAATATACCAATCGATTTCTAAGACCGGGCTTTTGCTTTCCTTTTCACTAAGCCTCCTAGCTTAAGTAAAGAGTGATCGAAACATCTCCTTCAATACCTAGGCCGCAAGAGTCCTCCATTCATCCGTTTTCTCTTTCGAACCCACCTAGGATGAAGGGGCGGTGCTTCCTCTCCTCTTTCAGCCTTAGTAGCCCGTCTGTGGTACTAATTCCTCTCTAAGTCTCTGCTTTATGGTTGTTAGTTCAAGTAGGGCAAGCATTATAATGTGTGATTTGGGGAAAATCGTGTTCATAAGGTAACCCTGGCCCGGTAGCCCCTCACAATATGATTAAGGCCTTAGGTAGTCTCACCACATGGACGATCCTTTCCGATTGTTAACCCGCAGATTTTAGGTCAGAGAAAACAAGGGGGGATATAAGAAAGAAATTGATCATGTATATTATTATTATGCCATTTAAGTGATTGATGGCTATATTTGAAACTATGATTGTAATTGTGAAAATAAGAACCGATGGTAAATATGTGAATAATGTATATGTGGTTACTTGTGCCAATTTTATATGAATATTAAGTACTTGTAGGCAATCGTGCTAATTCTGTATTCAACTTTATTCTTGAGATTATTCACATGAGTTATATGTTAATGTGATTAACATGTTCTTGATATGATTGTTTATATGGTTATCTTGATGAATTTATTAGCCACTTACATTTATAATTAATTATCATGCATTTGCATAATTTAGATGTACATTAGTCAATGAGTAGTTGTACTCACCCCTCTCTTTTAACATACTATAGGAGCTAGCTTATCTGGAAAGATCAGAGGAAAGAAGCATTAGACCAAGTAATCATAATCACTTCTGTTGGCCTTTTTCTTTTTAGTTTGACATGTGTATTTAGTTTATGGTATTGCCAATTAGGATAATATATTTTTAATCCACTTGCATTATGGGTTTTGTGTTGGGTGGAAATATATTTGTGCAAATATTTATATTATTATATCAATAAGCCAAAATATTTGTACAAGTGGAAATAATTATTATATGCATGATTTGAGAACTTGAATGTTATTATGACTTCTCCTTATGTTTTGTTGTCCAAGGGTGAGTGATTGATATTAATCATATATGAATGAAAAGGAAAAGTCATGCATATAATAAGCTATTGATAAATAGATAATATATATATATATATATATATAGAGTATGATGACTATGTAATAATTATTGTGATAAATGTAATGGAGATTTTAACTCCCTGCTGCCAGTTATAAAAGGGTTTGTGTGGTCAAATGTTATGTTGGTAAGGATATATATTATGTGGAGTAGGGTATAAAGAGAAAATAAGGAGCAAGTTTTCTACCCATTTTGAGATGTGTTTCTTAATCATGCTTCCACACATATTTAATTGAAAGATGTGAGCTTTTAAAATATTTTAAAAACTTGAGATCCCTTTGTTTAGTTTGTGAAAATATATGTTCAGAATTTTTTTTAAGTTAATCTCTTATAAAATAATCCTTTTAGATAAGTTCTTGATTAACTGTAGTTAGTGTGATTATCTAAATCCTAATTTAGGAGCCCCCATTACAATAACTCCCCTTGTTATTTGATGTGCATTCTTACACAAACCCATATGTCAGTTTCTATGTGAACCAATTTTGAATATAGGTTTTTCCATATTTTATATGAATATATCCATTTCATGTCAAAACAATATTTTTCAATTTTTCAATTTTTTTTCATTTGATTTCAATTTCAATATATTTATTATTATTAATTAATCAATATATAAAATATCAACATATAAAATATAAACTAATCAATAAATTATTAATATTAATTTTAATTAATATATTATTAAATTTATTAATTAAATCATTTTAAGTCATTAAATATAAAAATAAAAAATATAATTCAATTCAATATTTATTATTTTATTTATTTTATAAATTAAAAATAAAAAATGAAATAAAAATTAAATATATTATTATATATTAATATATTTAAATTTAATATATCTTAATATATCTAAAATATTCAAATATATTCCAAATCATATTGGAAGATAATTTTTTTCATTTTTTTATTTTTCTTTCCATCTGGTCAAGTCCCCTTTTTTGTTTTTTGGATCTGTTTTTGGGAAAGATTTTCTGATAGTATTTAAAGTTTCTCGAACAATATGATATCTCACATAAGGTAAATCCTTGACCCTTCTCCCTCTAAGACTATAGAATGTTCTTGTAAACTATGGCCAAGACAAATATATAAGCAGTGATTTTAAATTTAAAGGTTAAGCATATTCTAACAACTTTACTTAAGGCAAAATTTGGCTTTTTAGAGATGATAGTGAAAAAGTTGACAAATAAGTCACACTTATTGTCATTTTACAGAATTGAATGTGAGATTTTCACCTCACACTGCTCCTCATTCAATTCTTTCAATGGTTATGTCAATATTTTAAAGATTCATATGTTTTTATTTTACTAATATAATATTTACATATGTAAATACAATATTTAGATTTAATATAGAGATATAAGACGAGACCAAAAAAAAAAAAACATTATAATATCTAGATTCCCTGCTTCATTTTATACATGGAACGCCCACTTACACATCCACGTGAAGACAGCCCAAGAGCTGGAAAAAGCCACATTGTTGAGGGGCAAAGGGCGGGCAAATGAAACCATTGCTTCTAAACTCATTAATCCCTTTTAATTAATACTCTCTCCGTTCTATATATAAAACATCTTTTAAAAATAATTTTTAATTCAAAATATAAAAAACCTAATAACAATTAACACTTTTTTTAATTTTACACTTTATTAATTAATATGAAGATATTTAATGTAATTAACACTAACTCTCCCATGCATTGCACATAAAGTAAATGATATAAACATCATTACAAATATGATATAGATGTTTATAGTGATGATTATTCTATCTTTTTGTAATATTTATTTGCAAAACTCTCTTTATTGAGTATGATACGATTATATGCTTCCCATGCATTGGGGATTAAATGCTATGGATTCACAATGCTAATGAATATGAAAGAACCAAAATAAAAATGAACTTCAAATATTAAAAAGGAAAATTTAAAAAAATTATCAATAAAGAAATAGATAGCAAAAAGCCGAACATTAAATAACTTATCCAATCACTGAACGCTATTTAAATAGCAACTTAACTTGTCTAATCATTGAATATTGCTCCAATAATGCCTAAATTATGATAACATTTTATTGTAATTAGACGATAAGGTTATATGCTTGTATTTGATTTGCTTTAACACTTGATAAAAATGACAAGGGAAGAAAGCAGAGTTGTACCTTCACTTCCATATGATTAAATTTTGAAATCGTGCTTGTTCATTCCTCTTTCCCACGCACCAAAAAAAAAAAAAAAGGATATCCTACATGTACATCTTATATGGCATTAATTTTTGTATGTAATTAGAATAGAACTACTTTATATAAATCATTCCTGTCACATTATCTAAAAAAGTTCAAGTGTCCCAACATCCCACCCTCCAAAGAAAATAATGTAAAAAAACATATTAGCCCCCTTTTTTTTTTCACTTAGACACATTAGCTTGAATCGTGTTGGGATATTATTTATGCCCTCACCTTCTAAGCCCAAAATTACCTCTTCAATTTTAATCTAGGATATTATATATTCAAGCTTTAGTGTAATTCAAATAAAATCTCCATAAACTCCAAAACAGACATATTATTCAAGCATTTACTCCCCCATATGATGCATGAAAAGGTCTGACTTATATAATGATCAAATATAATATAAATATTAAATTTCACTCATTTTTATTATTGAAAGGTTAATATTTATCATAATTAATAATTAATAGTATTATTATGTTTTAAGAGCTGTAGGATAATAAAACTTGACAACCTTATTTTAATTTAGCTAGGCTTTATACTCTTGAAAACCTGTATCCACGCATTAGAATGTATGGTGAATGTTGTAGGCTTCATAACAGCCGGAAATAATTTAAGGTCCGGTATATTGAGCTCTTGACCTCACATCTCATCTGAGTTTATGTCACTCTCCAATAGCCTACAATAAAGAATCAATAAAACTATGCCTCATTTAGTATTCTGAAAATGTTTTTGACGGAATGAAAATGAATATAGATATAGATATGGAAATAAAAATGGATATGGAAGTAAATTTTAAAAGTATGTTTGATATGTACATAAAATTATGATATATTTTTATTTAATATATGCACTTATATAATCAATATATTAAAATACCCTTGTCAATTTTGTTTAATTATGATATAATTTTATTTAATATATGCATTTATATAATCAATTTACTAAAATACCCCTATCTATTTTTTAAATTATGATATATTTTTTTAATATGTGCATTTATATAATCAATTTACTAAAATACCTTTGTTAATTTTGTTTAATTATGGTATTTTTTTATTTAATATATACACTTATATAATCAATTTACTAAAATACGCCTGCCTATTTTTTAAATTATGATATACTTTTTATTCAATATATGCATCTATATAATCAATTTACTAAAATACCCCTGTCAATTTGTTTAATTATAATATATGTTTTACTTAATATATGCATTTATATAATCAATTTACTAAAAAACTTTTGATTTACTTCAATGATTGATGAATAGGCAAATTTGTCAAACAATTTTACAATTGAGGTTATTTTTGTCCGAAAAAATTCACTTCATAAAACCTATCTCATTTCCATGGGCCTTATTATGAAACCCAATTCAACCTATTTTGATGAATTTCATTTCAACATGAAAATCTATTTCATGCATATAAAAAAAAGAATGTGAATTACAATTTAATTTTCATTTCTAGCATACCAAACGGGACATAAAGGCATTCAGCCATTGAAAGATGCTTTCAAATTCATCGAATCATAGTGAGATTGTGCTCCACTCTTCTCTCTTAAGCCCTGTCCTCTTTTCTTTTCATTTTTATTTTTCCCCATAAAAAACTGCTGTCAATATTCCCCTCCGTAATAACTGGCAATCAAAGTTACAACTTCGAGGGGCAAAGTAGTCCAGATGAAGAGCAGTTGTTTCAACAAATAGATGAAGTTGAATGATTTTACTGAAAAATGTCATACCATTTAAACAAATAATATCCCTGCATGATTCAAGCATTATGTATGCGCCAACAAATATGAAAATATAATTGGCCAAAAAAAAAAAACACAAACATGAAAATATAAACACTGAAGCAATAGTTCAAAGTTCTAAACGATTAAACCTCATCAATACTTTAAGTTAAAAAGCTTTTTCCACAAGGAAGAAATTACACTAAACTTTTTATATTTAAGAAAATAGATACTCCCAGTGCAAGATGGATCCTCCCCAAAAATGTACTTGCTCGTAAGTTTCAACATTTTCTTGAATAGTAGGTGTGGTGTCCATTTTTCTTTCCAATGCAAATTTAGCCAACAACAACAACAACCACCCTTAATTGATTAAAATCACATATTAAAATTCAAATAAACATGCATAAAAATCAAGGGTGTTAAGTTTCACAATTAATTTATGACATGCAAATAATTTAGATTATATAACCAAACACTTAAAAGGCCAATTGTATATGTTCTAAATAATATATAATTGACACACACTTTCTCAATTTACCACATGATAAAATTGCTATGAATAGAACAGAACAGATAAAAGCAAGCAAAAAGAAACAACTAATAATGCATGTCGAGGGATTGAAAATAAAATCTGATGCTTGCTTTTATCTGTTATAGATAAAATTGCCATGAAATTACTAAATATGCATTATTACTCAGATCATTATTCAGATCATTGGAAATTACTCAGATAAAAGTACCATATATGCATTATTACTTTATGGTGCGTGAAGCCGTAAAATCAATGATTTACTGATGTTAAAATTTTAAATAAATTTGCAAAGGAACGTAAAGCAAACAACTAACTATCATTGCAAATGCATATTAAAAGGAAGATATAAAACAAAAAAAATGGATTTCTGACGGTGAAACACACCAGATCTGAGCAGTGAGGACGACAAGGAGAACGACGAAGGCAGGAGCAAATCTGGGTCAAGGCGAAGCTGAGAATGGAAATGGAAATCTGAGACAAAGCTAGGCAAAGCAAGTTTCTTCCTTCTTCTAGTCGCGTCGCATCGAGGCGTGAAGTTGAGGCCGAGATCTGGGTCTTCTTGCAGTTGCTGTTGCTGTTCTGTCGAGGCGTGAGGCGGAGGGCCGAGGGCGGAGGCCTTCAACTGGTCGGAGCCTTGAGGTGATGAGGTCTGTGTGGTGTGGCTCACTGGCTCTCCTCGGTCGGCGCAGGCGTGCAGCAGAAGATTGAAAAGGAAAGGGAAAAGTGAAGACTGAAGTTGAACTTGAAAGTTGAAACTGAACGCGTGTTCTGTTTGGTCCTCGTGAGCCTGACACTTAAGTCTGCAAGGCATAAGCTGAAACGGTGAAACCGAAGGAAAGCCTGAAAATAATGGTCAAAAAATAAATAAATAACATGCCATGTAAATAGGACGGGACGGGATGTCCCGATAATGAACCCGAGTCCCGTCCCGTCCCGTTCGTGTTTTGGTCTTGTCTTAAGAAAGTTTTGATCCTGATTTTTTTTTGATCGGGATAAACTCATCCCAATATGATCGGGACGAGTATGGGTCGGGTATAACTTGAGCACCCCTACTCGTAATTTTTGCCTCACAGTTTCCATCCACAAGATCCTTATCAAATCTTAGTTATGCCTAACGCAAATAAAGTTTATACTCTTGCTGTCAAAATTATAATGAATGACCTCCCCGAAAAAAATGATTACACTCAGAAATCAAGTATATCCCTTTTCCTGGTGCCTAAACACTGAAGTGCATATATAAAACGTGATTCATCAAAAATTAAGAAAACCACAAAAAATACTTGGAAAAGCATGTGAATAAAACCTATCCAGTGCTTCAATAATGCCAAGTCATAGGCAAGTGCTGCAGCTTGCAAATCATTAAACAGTTCGCAGCAAAACTCCCTATTGATAGCTGAGACAAATTAGAATTAAGATTTAGTGGGTAATAGAGTGCAAAACAGAATACCAATTACCCACAAAGAACCCATCTCCCAAAACCACTCCATTTTTTAAACCAACAAAATCCAAGATCCTCTATTGAAGGATACCAATTACCCACAAACAGCACCCTATTACAATCCCCATCATGAATTTCTTTCCAGTAGTGAACTCACACTAAATGTAAAGAGATCAAATGCATTGTAAATAGTTTAGATGTAACTGAAGAATTTTGAGCGGATCAACAGCACTCTAATCCGAATCCTTTCCAACTATATTTTGGATAATTGGATACAAAAACACAAGGATGAATCATATTAATGTATAAAATCTATTACTATATCTATCTCTCCAAGTGTTATTGGAAAGGATTTTATCAAATCCCGCATACTATCCTTTTCATTTTCATCACATCATCAAGCATATATCACAAGCACAAGAAGGAAGTTGGAAGAGTCATGTCTCTGCTTTCACCTGTCTCAATATTACTGCAGGAGAAATGAGATGCAAAAAACGTCAAAGAATGCAGATTCAAAAGAGAAGTGGACCAAGTGTACAGAGTAAAAAAAGACTACATACAAAAGTTAAGACCTTTTGTAGAGTCACTCGATTTCAAGCAACTTGCAGAGCTAACGCAATTTTTCTCATTTTTTTCAATTTGCACAAATTGAAAAGATTCAAAGCTGAAAACTTAAAGGTAGAGAAAGGAAGAAAAATGAAAACCATAATGATTAAAGGAAGGAAGGTATAATGATCTTTTCCCTTTTATCACAAAAAAAAAAAAAGAGGAAGGTAAATGAACAAAAATTAAAATGAATAAAAATAGGAGGGAAGCCAAGCCATGCAACTGAAAAAACTTATGAAACCAAATTTTTGCAGACATAACAGTGTGCGGCTGTTGATAGGTGAGCTTTTGATAGCTATATAACATGTGCAAAAGTTTAATTTAAATATAGGACAACGATTTCTCTTTTAATATCTAAATTTATCTATCTTTTCTTGACACAAGAAAAGTGAAGTCAAATTATTTCTCTTCCACTTTTTCTCCTTCCTATTCTAACCTACTATCCTGACTTTACAATCTATTGTACTTAAAAGTATGAGTGGAAAGAGCAACACAGATCAGATTACCCCCATGTTTTGAATCTGAAATCAAAAAAAAAAAAAAAATACAAAGGAGAAAAGTATATCACAACAGTTACCCGTTAATCAATATATTCACGAAGATACAAACCTTAAAAATTAAAAAGCAACATGATATAGATAACCCACACAATTGGTTACGCTTTTTCAACAAAAAATGAATGAATCATGAGGTTCATGTCTTTAACTACTTACTGAAAGTGTAATCTCAAGTTTCGAGTTCAAAAAAAATAAATATGAGGAATTTGTGGCATCAAGTTGTATGTCAATAGCTCCAACATATCAGAACCTTACCTTAAAACATATCATGATGGTACTATGACCCTTGTTACACATAATATCAAAAGCTATCGTCCAAAAAACAATGGCATCATATCAGACGCAAATCTGCAAAGTATAAATGGCAAGTGAATAGTGAAATATATATCGAGAAGCAAACTAAAGATCACAACTCAGACTACAAATCATAAAAAAGCATATCACACTAAAGTTCTGTCATATGTGCCACCATAGGAGCATGCATTATTCAAAATTAGCAGCTTGGATTTCCAGGTCAAGTTTGGAGGGCCATTATGGTTTCTGCGATCAGAATTGGACTACAGATTACGTGCATTAACTATTTTTTCAAAGGAAATTATCAAAAATTGGACTGTAGGTCTTGTACCATTGCACGAGACTTTTCCAAAAAATAAGCACATAGTGGGAAGGGCAGATTTACTTAATGGTATGACCTTCTAAACAATAGATAGGATAACATTTCACATCATAGAGCATGCTAGATGAATGGCACCATTTTTCGAAATTCATTATAGGATTGGGGTTTGACAACTTTTATTCAATGGTCATCCCTTTGAGAAAAACAATCCCATAAATTATTACAACTCAAAAAACATATTAGAGTCAGCTACAATATGGATATATTCTTGCAGAAGCAAACTAAGAAATAGACATAAGTATCAAATAGACAGGGCTAAGAAAGGATGATAAATCTTTCACACTAAATCGCACAAGTCAGATACTACATATAGCAAAAAATCAGTACAGCTACACTACTTGATACATATCATGATAATAACAAAAAGTCTTGACAACACACATAAGAAATTAGCAAAATATATTCACATTTGGAGAAAATCTATGATTGATTTTATATTGTTCAGCATAGTGTTTTTATGTGTTTATGTGTCTAATCAAATGTCAGGACTGCAGAAATCACCATTCCATGATCTCTGGAATAAATTCTGACAAAGAAAGATACTACAGTAAATATCACACTTTCCCTAGACTACTTAGGCATTGACACGGTAGGAAAAAGGGGGGAAAATAAAACTCAAGTGATGAATTACTGTTGAGGACATACAATGAAAGATTTCCTGGTCGTGCATCATGTAATACCAAGTAGCCAAAGATAAAGCAATATAGTTAACCAATGGTCAATGATTCTATTAAAAAAAATGCATTGAGAGAATCAGAATGCAAAAGGCAACACCAGACTTTGCTTCCCCCACATTTTGAATCTTGAAAGACATGTTAAACTACTAAAAAGGTTAAGAATCTTACACAACAGTTACCCATTGGTCAACAAACACACAAACAAACAAAAGTTTGGTAATAGGAAAAAGTCAATAAAACAATAATTCATAAAAAACATCACCCAGCTGGTTGAACAACTTCAACCAAAATATGAGTCGTGAATTCTAAACTTCAGACTCCTCTTGCTTTGCATACAGACAGGACAAAGAACAGATCTTACCTACCCTGTAGGTAACCATTGCACTATAACATAAAATTCAGAAATGCTATAAGACCATGCTCTCCCCTTCGCTCTCTTTTATAGACTCATGGAGATGGCATATTGGGATAATTTTCACAGACAAATAAGAAGAACCAAAAATAAAAATTAGAGAGGACCACATCATAAACCACGATTATAAAATGATTACAATTTTATAGAATCTCCATCATCTTGTACCTTTTTGTTCATCAATAACAGAGTGCATTCTTGCATGTGTTTTTGTGTATGTGTTTAATCAGTTCGCATTAATTTGTTTCACGACATGATAAATGCTAGCTCAGAAAAATTCTATCACAACTCAAAAAGTATTGATTAATAATATATTTCATTTTTTGCAATCATTAAAAAACAAAAAAGAAAAACTACTTAACCATATCTTCTTTGGAAGCCCTAACATTTGAATCATCACATAAGTTCAGCAAAGTTCATAGGAAATTTGGAACATTTTAATTATAGTCTACTGCATAAATCAAAATGTAAAGTTCAAGTTGGGGGGATCTTATAGGCTTTATACTGAAAGTTGATCCTCTGAGAAGCAGGAATGGATCTAAGAAGCAGGAATGATTCCAAAAGGAAGGCATGAACTGAAGTGGACTGAAACAGACACAAAAACTGATGTATGAGAGTTACAAAAATGAAGCAAAAATGTTGTTCCGTTTACACCTTCACTAAGCCCGCAAAATATCTAGCATTTATGTTTGTAATGTCTTAGCTGCTTGCCTGTTTCGTTTAGAGTTCTAGCACTATAAATAGGACTAACTTTGCTGTAAGAGGCAGTTCAAACTTGAAATAAAAACCAGAATTTTCTCTTTTCATTTGGTTTCTGTGCCATTTTAGTATCAGAGCTGGTCCAGAGAGCGAAAGAGTGAGGTAGAGTTGAGGAACTACGTCGAAAAGGAGAGAAGCTCAGAGGGGGAGTCTTTGACTTGTTTGAATCCTGCATTCCAAACTCTTTTTTTCCAAAAACTAACGCCACTATCGCACTTAGGAGGTCTAAAAACGTAGAACAAGAGGTTCCCCATTGTCGGAATCATCTTCACGCTCCTCCACGCACCGTCGCCTAAATCCTACACACCGCACGCGCCAACTGAAGGTAGAAGACAATGACATCATCTGCCACGTCATCGATTGACCGGTCAACAACAGGTCAGCACAATCATTTCCCGCCACGTCACCCTACCCAGTTAGCCATATGTTTTGAAATTATATTTTTCCCCAAATATTTCCATAATTCTATATTGACCCCTTAACTTTTTGAAATTTCATGTTCACCCCAAAATTTTTTGAAATTTCATTTTGACCCCTAAACTTTCCTAAATTTACAATTTTGCCCCCTAATTTTACCTTAATTCCATTTTAACCTCTATATTTTCCATAAATTACAGTTTGACCCCCTATACTTCCATAATCTCCATTGTTACCCCTAGACTGTCCAAAATTCCCATTTTGCCCCTATACTTTCCAAAAGTCCCATTCTACCCTAATACAGCGAATCCTGTTAAATAACAATAAAGAAAACCTAAAAGGAGATTCGGAAGCAGTAGTTCGTCATCCACTGAC